AGTCTTTGGCTTAGGCTAAAAGGGGTAAAAAACAAGGGTGATGTCATGATAGGGGTCTACTACAGGCCACCTACCTAGGTGGAAGAGGTGGATGAGGCTTTTTTTAAACAACTAACAAAATCATCTAAAGCGCAGGATTTGGTGGTGATGGGGAACTTCAACTATCTAGATATATGTTGGGAAACTAACACAGCAGGGCACAGACTATCCAATAAGTTCTTGGATTGCACTGAAGACAACTTTCTATTTCAGAATGTTGAAAAAGCTACTGGGGGGGAGGGAGGAGCTGTTCTAGATTTGATTTTAACAAATAGGAAGGAAATAGTTGAGAATTTGAAAGTGGAAGGCAGATTGGGTGAAAGTGATCATGAAATCATAGAGTTCATGATTCTAAGATATGGTAGAAGGGAGAACAGCAAATTAGAGACAATAGATTTGAGGAAGGTAGATTTTGGTAAGCTCAGAGAGCTGGTAAGTAAGATCCCATGGGAAGTAAGACTGAGGGGAAAAACAACTGAAGAGAGTTGGCAGTTTTTCAAAGGGACATTATTAAGGGCCCAAATGCAAGCTATTCTACTATGTAGGAAAGATAGAAAATATGGCAAAAGACTGCATTGACTTAACCAGGAGATCTTGCATGATCTAAAAATAAAAAAGGAGTCATAAAAAATGGAAACTAGGACAAATTACAAAGAACGAATATAGGCAAACAGTACAGGAATGCAGGGGCAAGATTAGAAAGGCAAAGGCACAAAATAAGCTCAGACTAGCTACAGGCATAAAGGGAAACAAGACGACACTCTATAACTATATTAGAAGCAAGAGGAAGACCAAGGACAGGGTAGGCCCACTGGTCAGTGAGGAGGGAGAAACAGTAACAGGAAACTTGGAAATGGCAGAGATGCTTAATGACTCCTTTGTTTCGGTCTTCACCGAGAAATCTGATGAAAGAATGCCTAATACAGTGAATGCTAGTGGGAGGTAGGTAGGTTTAGGAGATAAAATTAAAAAAGAACAAGTTAAAAATCACTTAGAAAAGTTAGATGTCTGTATGTCACCAGGGCTTGATGAAATGCATCCTAGAATACTCAAGGAGCTGATACAGGAGGTATCTGAACCTTTAGCTATCATCTTTGGAAAATCATGAAAGACAGGAGAGATTCCAGAAGACTGGAAAAGGGCAAATATAGTGCCCATCTATAAAAAGGGAAATAAGCACAACCCAGGAAACTACAGACCAGTCAGTTTAACTTCTGTGCCAGGAAAAATAATGAAGCAAGTAATTAAGGAAATCATCTGCAAACACTTGGATCCGTGTTTCTCAAAGAGCAACTTAGAGGGGGGTTGCGGTATCACAAAGTTTGAGAACCCCTGACTTGGATGATAACAAAGTGATAGGGAAAAACCAGCACGGATTTGTAAAGAACAAATCATGTGAAACCAATCAGATAGCTTTCTGCTATGTACATTGGACAAATGTCTCAGACACTTCACCAAAGGATCAATGCCCACAAGACAGATATTAGACAGGATCACAAAGAAAAAACAGTTTCTTGCCATTTCAACCAGAAAGGACATTGTCTCAACGACTTGATTACCTGCATCCTGCTTCAAAGGCCTTTTAAGAATACACTTGAAAGAGAATCCTCTGAACTGTCATTCATGCTAAATTCGACACTTTACACTTAAGTTTGAATAAAGACTCTAATTATCATACCCATTACAAAGATAGCTTCCCTAATTATCACCTCTAATATCATTAGCTCACAGACATTTACCTCCCCCCACATCCTCCTCCTGTTCTGAAATTTGATTTGTCCTTTTCATATGTGTTCATTTTTTTAAACTGTATCCTTTGGTATATATGGTTGTGACAAATTTTCTTCCTCTATGTGATCTGAGGAAGTGGGTCTGGCCCACGAAAGCTCATCACCTAATAAACCATCTTGTTAGTCTTTAAAGTGCTACATAGTCCTGTTTTTTTGTTTCAGCTACACCAGACTAACCCGGCTACATTTCTATCACTAGACTTTAGTAAGGCATTTGATACAGTCTTGCATGATATTCTTATAAATAAACTAGGCAAATACAACTTAGATGGTGCTACTATAAGGTGGGTGCATAACTGGCTGGATAACCATTCTCAGAGAGTAGTTATTAATGGTTCACAATCCTGCTGGAAAGGTATAACAAGTGGGATTCCATAGGGGTCTGTTTTGGGACTGGTTCTGTTCAACAGCTTTATCAACATTTTAGATATCGTCATAGAAAGTACGCTCATTAAATTTGCAGATAATACCAAGCTGGGAGAGGTTGCAAGTGCTTTGGAAGATAGGGTCATAATTTAACATGATCTGGACAAATTGGAGAGATGGGCTGAGATAAACAGGATGAAGTTTAATAAGGACAAATGCAAAGTAAGGAAGGAACAATCAGTTTCACACAGACAGAATGGGAAGCAACTGTCTAGGAAGGAGGATGCCAGAAAGGGATCTAGGGATTATAGTGGACCACAAGCTAAATAGGAGTCAACAGTGTGACACTGTTGCAAAAAAAGCAAACATGATTCTAGGATGCATTAACAGGTGTGTTGTAAAACACGATAAATCATTCTTCTGCTCTACACTGCGCTGATTAGGCCTCAGTTGGAGTATTGTGTCCGGTTCTGGGCACCACATGTCAAGAAAGATGTGGAGAAATTGGAGAGGATCCAGAGAAGAGCAACAAGAATGATTAATGGTCTACAGAACATGACCCATGAAAGAAAACTGAAAGAACTGGGCTTGTTTAGTTTGGAAAAGAGAAGATTAAGAGGGGACATAATAGTGGTTTTCAGGTATCTAAAAGGGTGTCACAAGGAGGAGGGAGAAAAAATGTTTTTATTGGCCTCTGAGGATATAACAAGCAGCAATGAGCTTAAACTGCAGCAAGGGAGGTGTAGGTTGGACATTAGGAAAAACTTACTAACTGTCTGGGTGGTTAAACACTGGAATAAATTGCCTAGGGAGGTTGTGGAATCTCCATCTCTGGAGATATTTAAGAGTAGTTTAGATAAATGTCTATCAGGGACGGTCTAGATAGTACTGCCATGAGGGCAGGGGATTGGACTCGATGACCTCTCGAGGTCCCTTCCACTCCAAGTATTCTATGATTGATTCCATTTGAAGAGTTCTGTGTAGTTGAATTTGATCCCATACAAAACTGAAGTTAATAAAAAAAGCCTCACCCATCTTGCTTCTCCCTATTCCACCTAAGCCATTTCAGTACTTCTCAATGAAGGATTTGTTTAAAAAGCTCAAAATGAGGCATCTGCTACAAGAATTAACAATTTCCTTATGGAGTGTTAACTAATGGATATCTTGAAACCCATTATATCCCAGCTCTCTTCCTAATAAGTCCATCCATCTTGTAATGTCCCATGGAACCACTTCACGTTCCCCATCAACACAAAGAGCCAATAGCAA